GAGCTAACTACAGATCAACATTCAGGAGAATTTCATACCCCAAACTAAATCATTTTCCCACAGCAAACCCCGATTCCCCACTTGTAGCATTGTACACCTAGGTGAAATCCAAATGCATGTTTGAAATTCTATCACAACAGCAGCACCAGGTTTATTGGAAAGCCTCCCCCGCAGTCGCTGTGAACATGTTGGCTCGCTGTGAGGGGCACTGCCTGCTGCATCAGCTTCGCTTCCAGCCGAGACACAGCTGCTATGTCCTTCCAACTTCAACACTTCGGTGTCTGGCAGCCTGCAGCGTGGGAAGTTGACTTGAGTTTTAGGCTGTTACTGCAGATAGTCTCTAGTAACTATTCAACTAGAAAGACTGAAGACTTCGTGATGCCATTATACAACAAAGCATCCCTAACCTTCTGCTTCCTTAATGATGTGAACTTTCCTGGAAATAGATTTACTGTCTCAGGGTCATTCTGAGTAGTAGTAATACTTTTTTCTATATTTTTACAATACATGACAAAACACTTTTACATGGATTTTCACTTTGGTCCTCAGACCAGGACCCACAACAGTGCCTTCAATGTAGTAAATGCATAATATTTGTTGAAGAAATGAATAATAAACAAGTTAAGAGGCTTTTAAAGAGTAACTGTAAATACAGAATGAAAGGAAAATGCAAAGACAGTTTTAGCCTTTAGATCTGCTTCATTATCCAACCCCTGAGAAAACAATTAGATAGGATTATAGGTATGTACAGTGGGTTAGACGGCATTTAGATGTTATTGTTATTGCTGCTGTTGTTTCCTCTCTTAGAAGGCAGAAGTCATTTTGGAGCAGAATTTCTTTGCTCTGGGAAAAATCCCTTGAGTGGACCTTATTAGTTATATAAGTGTAAGAAAGAAATAACATTGCTTTGAAGGAAAGAGAATATTACCTTTTTCTTTGTTTTGACCTGACACTTACTGCCTCTTCCAATCACTCTATGTATTTAAAGCTCCTCCTTTGGGAGAAAGTAAACCAGTTTGCTCCTAAACGGAAGAGAATTGAGCCCTCCAGTCTTTCTTTTTTGAGATGCACTACATGTAGCCATTGATGAATAGATGTTTCCAGCCTAAGGCTGAGGATGCTGAGGAAGGTGTGGCAGGTCCTCAGGAGGGCGCTCACAGTGAAGGCAGAATGCAGCCTACTACACTGCTTACTTGGGGCTCAACGTTCAGACTTAGACTGTCTTGCAGGCAGAAGCCCCTGGAAACCTAGCCCCCTGGCATAGAGGAGGGAAGCTTTGGAAACTAGGTAAATTTAAACTAAACTGGTGTAACCTTGGGAAGGAAAGCATAAAACACTAGCGAGCCCAGCAGTCTCATACCTATCCATTGGAAAGTCTGCTCCTTCTTACTCCAGTTAACTGAAGGCAAACCCCAGATCTGATGGAAACACAGGCTGAGATTGCAGAGAAAATATCATTACATGTGCATGGCGGGAACCTTTCCAGCAAAGTGCTTGTCAGGGTGTTCAAGTGTAGAAAGTGGGATTTCACTTGAAAGGTGCAGGCTGTGGGGGAATCTTGGTGCCTTCTGACTAATAGACACTGCGTAGAAGAATTTACTGAAGACTTGTTTTGTCTCATACCATTCACACATATGGATTTTGAGCATATATATGAGAAGGCACATAGCTTCTCTCTCCTTGTAATTACTGGAGGGGACTCCTATTTCACAAAACAACCTGTCAGTTGTTGGAGGAACAAATTGGCTCAGGTCAGTCTGCAACACAGATATTACGGAAAATTACGGAACTTCTTCAAAAGCTTATTATCTACGTAGGTTACCACAGGTCAGGTACAAAAGGCACTACGCAGAAATATTAAGTCAGTGAATACATGGAAAATATTTGGAACAGTGCCCAGGTACATAATAAGTCCTATAGATATTATATTAAAGAATATAATAATCATAATTGTACTAAACAGCAAGGAAGAAAACTATGGGTTGTATTGGGAGTGTGTAATAGTGGAATCTAACCTGGTGTGTGAATCAGGAGCAGTTCTCAAAAATTGAAGCTTTGGATTAGTTTGCCAAAGATATGTGGAAATAGCACCCCATGCTGCAGATTGTGGGTTGGGGGCAGGTTAAGAGATGTCAGAATTGCTGGATTAGAAAAAGAAAAGCTTTGAGATACGGCTGGAGAGCCATGTTCAGGATTTTTCACTTTATCCAAAGGGAAATGGCTAAAGAATGACCCTGCTTAATGTGCATTTTAATAAACTATTATTTTTTGATAAAAATATAATTTGGTTCTAGTGAGGCAAAGTGTGTGTGTGTGCCTGTGTATGTTTGTAGTGGGGGAGGGTAGAAAAGAGTGAATAGATGAGTCCAATCAGAGATCTGTTACTAACATCCAGGCAGCAATAGATGGTAGCTTGAACCAATAAGGAGGCTGTAGGTTGGCGAGAAGTGAAGGGACTAGGGATAAATATCTGGAAAGAAAAATTCTAAATAGTTGGGTCATTTGATGGGGGTTAGGGAGTAATGTACAAAAAGAAAGAATGCCCCTAAATCATCCTTCCCTGGTCCTTTTTAAATGGAGATGAATACTAAACCTGAAAAAGGTATCAGGGAATATCGGGTACAAATTTCTCTTTAATTATATAAAAAATACGATCTCAGATTAGTAAAGGGAGTTCTTCTTCTCCATGTATCTGATTGTTTAGTGGCAGAACCTAGACTAGAACCAAAGTCAGCTGCTTTTTTCATGACATTTCCTTTACTGAATGGAGGCAGCATCTTCTCTTATATACTAATATTCACTTACGGCTGCTAAATAATTTTCTACATACACATGTAGGAGCACGTTGAAGTGTTTTTCAACAGTAAAGTCTTAACATATGTTTTCTTTATATCACAAATATTTTTGGTTGGATGTGATCTTGCTTAACTAGAGTTTAGTCTAACTGATGTTATTTTCCAGCTTTGGGGAGAATCTGCAGCATTGCAGAAACTCAGATGTTACCACTAAAACTTTAGTAATTCCATCCTGCTACTCTGAATAAATGCCAAGAACTTTTCTTTAGAATCCTTTTTCAGATAATTCAGGCTCAAAACAATCTAGTATAAGTTTAATCAAGGGAAACCAAGGGAAAAATGAAATAAATGTTACTATTCAAATGGCAGCATTTAGATAAAGGACTGCATAAACATGGACATTTAATTTTATTGAAATTTAAATGAGTTTACTACTCATTGGCTATAAGGTCTGTTAATTAAGGCAGGAGTGCCTTGTAAATCCTGGATAAATGCATATTTGCCACATACAGTTGTAGCTGACAACAGTCCTTTGTACAAAATGAAGAATAAATCTAAACCAATTAAGATACTGTATATATAATTTGAATATTGTAAATAAAATGAGGTGACTGTGGCTTGTGCATTTTAACATGTGTTAGAATGATACTTCATTTATTCTTGGTAAGTTTTTGCTGATTATTCCATTCTAATGGAAAACTTGCTACTAACTAGCCATGTTTCAGACAGGTTGATAAAGCCCCCAATAAAGAGAGATTATATAACATTGGATGTAAATCTGGTCCCTATTCACAGTCAAGGAGGATGATCAATGTAGCAGTAGTAGTAGTGAGGGAGGCTTTTGAGATAGTAAGATGAAGGTACAATTTTTCTATCAGTGAACTCACAATCTTGTGGAGGGGGGAGATAGACACAGAAATGAATGGCAACTGCTGTAATAACTTAAAAAGTACATGGCCAGGTGCAGTGGCTCCTGCCTATAGTCCCAGCACTTTGGGAGGTAGAGGCAGGTAGATCACTTGAGGTCAGGAGTTCAAGAGGAGCCTGAACAACATGGTAAAATTCTGTCTCTACTAAAAATACAAAAATTAGACAGGTGTGGTGGTATGTGCCTGTAGGCCCAGCTACTTGGGAGGCTGAGGCAGGAGAATCACTTGAACCTGGAGACAGAGGTTGTAGTGAGCTGGGGTCATGTCACTGTACTCCAGCCTGGGTGACAGAGCAAGATTCTATCTCAAAACAAGCACCCCCCCAAAAAAACAAAATAAAACAAACAAAAACAGCAACAAATACAGATAGTACAAAGGAGATTGCTAATGTGGGGAGTTTGGGGGATTCTGAGCTGGGTTTTCAAAAATGAAAGGCATATTTCAGATTGTGAAGGGCATTGAAATCACTACAACTTTCTTAAATCACCTTTAAAAAAAAGCAAAAACATTTCTTGAGAGGCAATCCAAGTTATCCAAATAACTCACATGCTGTTAAGAAACATTACCTAGAACTTGAAAAAAAGGCAAAAGGATGAATGCTTCTTTTTTCAATGTTACAACAGAATATTGCCTTATTTAAATTTTTTGGAAATGTACCTTAGTTTTGAACATCTATTTACTATCGATTGGGATCAAGCCTATGCACAATTACATGTTGTTAACATCTAGATTTTATCCTGTAAGGATGAAAGAAATTTTTATTCATCAAAACGAAGACTCTGAAGGTTGCAGCTTTACAGGCCTGTAGGACATGTGATGTCACATATGATCCAGCATTCTTTCTTTCAGCACCTGTATATACTCAGTCTTTCAAATTTTGCTTTGAACCAGTTTTACCATTCTGTAGGTAATATATCTATATTCTATATTTGAAAAAGTTTTTTTTTTTTTTATTTTATTTTTACCCAGGGTCTCTCTCTGTGGCCCATGCTGGAGTGCAGTGGTACAATGACGGCTCATTGCAGCCTTCATCTTCTGGGCTCAGGTGATCCTCCCACCTGAACCTCCTAATTATCTGAGGCTACAGGCATGCACCACTGTTCCTGGCTGAAAAAAGTTATGTTTTTAATTTATTAAATATGATAGTTGGATAATGCATACACTGGAATTAATAATGTTTGAGCCATTTACCCATTCCATATAGCAGTTGGTACTCATCCCATCAAGCAGAAAGAATTGTTATTTTCTTTTTGTGTCCTCTTTACTCCCTTGTTAGGTCTCTGGAGAATTTGCAGAGAAATTATCAGTCCTTCTCCAGACTTTATAGGACCCTTCAGTTTATAGAAGAGACTCTGAGAAAGAGCTGATGCAGGTCTTGGCACTGTGTCAGTCACAGATGAAGGTGAGAGTAAATATGCGTGTTTTGGAACTTCCTGTATTTTGTTGGTGTATCTCCTGAAAAGCATCTTTCATTTGTTTGTTAGCTTTAGAAGTCAGAATGGAGCACTATTTAAAAGATCCGTCCTTGTTGCTTAAGCTCTATGTTCCCCAAAAATAGCTGGATCTGAGCCTAAAATATGGATTTTTAAAAATTCACTTTAGGATATGTGTTTGGACTAAGATGACAGTGCATTTCTTGGGGGAAAATGGATGGCAATGGAAAGCCTCTTCTGAGCTGACAAAGAACAAAAATGGCACCCACACCCTTTTGCCTAAAAACATGACATCTTCTCAGGCCTTCTGTGTACTGTTTCTTTTTGTTCCTAATTTTTTTAAAAAAAGCTAAAGGTGAATTGACAGTGTCTACCCTGAATGTGCACTGTATTTAGCGTTGCATTTTCATATGTATATAAATGTATATTTTGTTTTATCCTTAAACCTAGCTTGTGAGGTTCATATCATTATTTTTTGGAAATGATATGCTAATTGTCTTGAAATTTTTTGCCTTGTCTTGAGATCTGAGATTGCTTGTCTTGAAATTTAGGATGATATATTTCTTTATGAAGCAGCTTTTCAAGAATGACTCATCAGTGATCTTGTTCAAGGCTGAACCCTGTTGGTGAGGTTCCCAGTCTGCACATTTTCTACCTTTTGCTCTGGCCTCAGATGTGAGATAGCCAGTCTGAAGTCCAGATACAAGCATAAATCTTTCTCACTTAAAAACAATTCTAGACAAAGAAACCCAGTATTTTAATGGAAAAGCATGGAAAAAAATTATTACATGATGCCTGTACATTGAAATTCTCCCAGCTAGTACTTTCTCCTTTTTCTCACAGACTTAATTTTGCTATTCAAAGCAACAATTTGCTCAGGGCACATTTTTTTTAGCATTTGGGTTGATAATGTACAGTATGCAAATTAGACATGAAAGCCACTGTTGCAAAAAAGAAAAAAAAAGCCAATCTAATTTAGGAATCTGATCTCTATTTGCAGTTGCTCATCCATGTCACACTGCCCAACATGTGTCCATGGGCCAGATGCATGATGCCCTGCAGAGTATCATAATACTCAGTTGTTAATTTCATAGTCTACTATAGCATCAAAGAATGGCAGAGGCAGCCCACAAGCAGGAGAAGACAGCTAGCTGTGAAGCAGTTAAATGCTTGCCTTCCCTTGGTAAAAGGAATCTTTCTGAGGCAACTCCACTGAATTCGGAACTTGAATATTTATGCTACAGAGGAAATCAGCCATAAATTTACATTTTTAGCAGCTTGGTAATCGCAGGGAGGGAAAGGAAGAATAATAATTTTAAAAAAGGATTTCGACAATATAATCGATCCTTCACAAAATCTGGCCCAACTTTAATAGATAATTATTGAAAATAGAAGTCCCTTTGTTCCTAATTAGACAAAGAATTGTCTTAATACAAATTGTTCTTAAATCCATCTTTAATCAAATTTGTTCGGTGCTTAGCACTCTATTATAGCAACAGCTTATTTATCTGACTCAGTCAGGGACTTAGTTGTTCCACGTAAGTGAATTTCACAGATAACTGAAACATACACCCTCAAGTGCAAAAACTTTAGAAAAATGAACCATTTTGATGAAAACACTCCTAAAATGTATTATGCAACACCTGCTATCTTAAATAACATTTGTCAAATAATTAATGCCTTTTCTTATTGTAGCCAATATTTCCCAAGAACTAACGAATAGGAACAGAAATGGGGCAGGGAATAAAAACGAAGGCTCCTCAAATCTGCCACGGCTGCTGGTTTTGCAATCACAGGTGCTTCTATCAGTTCTTTGAGTCACTGTCATCTGCAGCTCTCAAGCTGTCCCTGCTGCTGTGGAGGCAAGATGTCACTAAGGGGACTGTTGCCCACGGATGCTTCGCGGCTGGCCCTGCTTCTGTCACTGTGAAAAAGTGAAGGCTCTGTTACTCACTGCCCTTGGAGGACTCACTGACTCTGGAACCAATTCTTGTGATGTCTACAAGTTCCTATTGTGGTAGGGTCGCACCTCTGAAGTTCCTCTTAGGAAGTGGAGAGAACATTTTTCCTCTTTTTTGCCTTACTGTGCTTTTGAGGTCTCACAGAGATTTTGTGTGGAAACAAGTCTCTCTTTTCTTACTTCCAGCCAAATCATTTCTTAAGAATAGACAAGTTTGTGGGGACTTGGCTGAAGAGCAACAGGAACAGCAAACACACTATGGGGTGCCTCAAATAATTTTTTTTTCTTGGAGGCTTCAAGATTCTTGTTTTCTTAAAAATAGATAATCTGTGCATACCTCACCAGCCCACCTAATGTGCCCTCACATGGCAGAGTCTCAGTGGGAACCCAGCTAAGCTCAAGGCATCAGGGCAATATCTGAGAGGCACAGTGTTTGTGACAAATTGGCTTTTTTCTGGGTAGCTAACCAGTGCTTTTGTGCTGAGTTCCTTATTCTCTGACTGTTGCTTTCCTCTTTGAACCCTCCCAATTCTAATTGGCTGTTTTCAGTCTATTATGATTTGATAGCACAGATAACCAAGGTTGGTGGTTCCTTGTGTAAAACATGAGTCTGTGAAGTATAATGAAAGCCCTTATTGCAGTTGTCTTCAACATTTTTGAAATCATGCAATTGTTAGCAGCATATGGGAAGTGATCAAAGTTTCCCCAAACAGTTTTAAAGATTGGATTTAACTATAACACAAGTAAGACTTCAGTGTAATGTCTTACAAAACACCCACCACTGTCTTTGTTCTCTTGGACTCATTTAACCACATTACCAGTGTGTTGTTTTCTTTAGAAACATTTATTTCCCTCACCCTACTTGCTTATACTTTTTCATATTCTGGTAAACATAAGACCTTTCTTTGAAATATATAGTTTTAAATAGCTCATATTTATGGAACGGGACCCACTCAGCTCAACCTTCCATGTGAAAGATATCTCTGAAGTTGTAGGATTATGACCTATGATTATGACCCATAAATCTTTTTTTAAATATATATTTTATTGCATTTTAGGTTTGGGGGTACATGTGAAGAGCATGCAAGACTGTTGTATAGGTACATACATGGCAGTGTGGTTTGCTGCCTTCCTCCCCATCACCTACATCTGGCATTTCTCCCCATGCTATCCCTCCCCAACTGCCCACCCCCCACTGTCCCTCCCCTAGTTCCCCCCGGCAGACCCCACTGTGTGATGCTCCCCTCCCTGTGTCCGTGTGTTCTCATTGTTCAACACCTGCCTATGAGTGAGAACATGCAGTGTTTGATTTTCTGTTTTTGTGTCAGTTTGCTGAGAATGATGGTTTCCAGGTTCATCCCTGACCCATAAATCTTACACAGTGACTAAAATGGGCGCGCCTCCTAGAGAGCCACACCAGTGTGTCGTAGCTCACTGATTGAGAACCATGCCGCTGCTTCTGCTGGGCTGCCTCCAAATTATTGGGTGCAAACATCAGAGTTGTGTCTGTATCCTGCTAGTGTCTGCTCCTCAGAGGCCTGATCTACATGCATTCACCTCCTAGGTATGCCGAAATGATGCCCAATGCTGTACCTGTAGGTAAATATCATGTCTTTAGATGAGATGATATCTGAGATTTCTTCCAACCCACACAGTTTATGTTATGAAGTTGGAGCCTGAAAGTTCCCGTTAGATCTTTGCCAACTGCCGCTTGGGCCTCTGATGCCATTTCAAAGGGCATGCATTTAAAATGAGCTTGCTCTCTTGTCTTCCCTTTAGTCTCCCCTCAACCTTTCTCTACTTGCTCTGTTTATTCCCTTACTAATAATGAATAACAGTAATACTGTCTGAGTCAAGAGAAAGGAAATTTGATATAATTCTTCTCAGATCATCTTTACATAGATCAATCCTTTGGTACACTGGGGTTTATTATGGATGTTGGAAAAGCTGAAAAAATATAAGTAAAACTTAAAAAATTTTCTTAAAGCCACATTTTCCCTGAATTATCAAATATTCCAAAAAGGAAGAACAGATACACAATTTCTCTGTGTATGTGTCTTCCACTATAGGGAGGACTGTGTGAATCACTTATTTGCCAGTGTGGTTGTGATATCAGTTTCCTTAGACTGCTGTAACAAATTACATCAAATTTGGTGGAGTAAAACAACAGAAATGTATTCTCTCACAGTCCTGGAATCTACATTAAGGTGCCAGCAGGGCCAGGTTCCTTCTAAGAACTTTATGGGAGAATATTTCCTTGCCCCATCCAGGTGTGGTGGCTCCCCGTGGTCCTTGGTGTTCATTGACTTGTAGCTGCTTCAGTCCAGTCTCCAACTCTTTATTGTCATGTGTGTGTCTAGTGTGTCTGGGCCCTTTTCAACCCAGGCCAGAAGCGTTTCTGCTGTTCAAAACCCTTGTCAGTTGTCCACATAGTTCACAGGGGTCTAAGCCCTCACTCAGACAAGCAGGTCCTTTACAAATCTTTCCTGGATAACCTTATTTCTACTTCTGGCTTCTGTTGAGATGGTTGATTGGATCCATTACTCACAGGCCTCTTCTCCCAAATAAAAAGTAGTTTAGCCCCACACTGCAAGGTTGAGAATTCAATTCGCATTGTAATTTAGCCACTCATAGGATGAATCTCTGGCTTTGGTTTTCAGAAATCTCAGCTACCACCACCTTTCAGGGCAGATGTGGACACTTTCAGGTAATTTATGCTGCATTCGAATTGGGAATTTGAAGCCCTAAGCTAATCCTTTCTTTTTCCTCCCTTCCTCTATTACAGTTAGGAGCAATAAACCACTTTAATTATTATATTACTTAGATTGATAAAAATATTCTAAGATATCAAATACTGTGTTCACCCAGAACTCCGCCTTCAAAAGTATTTGACTGGGGGTACCCAAGATTTGTGTATTTTTATTGCCAGATGTTATAGACTGAATATTTGTGACCCCCTCCCCAAATCATATGTTAAAGCCCTAACCACTAGTGTGACTGTTATTTGGAGGAAGAAAGCAATTAAGGTTAAACAAAGACATAAGGATGGGGCCCTGGTTCAGTAGGATGAACGTCCTTATAAGCAGAGACATCGGAGAGCTCACTTTCTCTCTTTCTGTGGCAGGCACTAGAGAAAGGCCATGTGAGGACATAGTGAGAAGGCTGTCATCTCCAAGGGTGACAGTCCTCACTGGGAACTAAATGAGGCAGAACCTTGATATTGGGCTTCCAGCATCCAGAACGAGGGTGAGAAAATACATTTTTGTTTAAACCACCTAGTCTGTGGTTTACTGATACGACAGCCCAAGCTGATGAAAACATGACAGTATGGAGTATCAGTGCCCTCTTCACCACTGGAAATAGAGTCATTAGTGCCTTTAAGTTTCATCGGCTTAGAGAAACATTTCTGGAATCCCCAGAGCCAATTTAGAAACCTCAACCTTAAGACTGCATTCCTCTAGAACCACTCCTGGTATCAAAATGTGTATCAGTCAGCGTTCTCCACAGAAACAGAACTATATCTGTGAGATCTATATATGAAATGTATACATTTATATTATTTATGAAACATGCATTATATATGTTATATACATTATATATATTACATACATTATAAATTGTGTGTTTATATATAAATATATATATTATTATTTATATATATAATTTATTTCAAGGATATATTTATATTTATTATATATATATTTATTATATATTATATATATAAATATGTCCTTGAAATAAATTATATATATATTTATATATGTTATATATATAACTATATATAATATATATTATAAAACCTATAAAATACATTTATATATATATAGTTTATTTCAAGGAATGCAGGAGATGGCAAGTCTGAACATTATAGGGCAGACCAGCAGGCTGGAAACTCTTGGGCAGGGATTGACATCTGACGTGCTTTGGCTCTGTGTCCCCACCCAAATCTCATTTTGAATTGTACTCTAATAATTCCCATGTGTTGTGAGAGGGACCTGGTGAGAGATAATTGAATCATGAGGCTGGTCTCCCTCATACTGTTCTTGGTGAATAACTCTCATGAGATCTGATGGTTTTAAAAATGGGAGTTTCCCTGGACAAGCTCGCTCTCTCTGCCTGCTGCCATCCATGTAGGATGTGACTTGCTCCTCCTTGCCTTCCACCATGATTTTCAGACCTCCCCAGCCACATGCAACTGTAAGGCCATTAAACTTCTTTCTTTTGTAAATTGTCCAGTCTCAGGTCTGTCTTTATATTAGTTTAAAACAGACTAATATAACATCTTTATCTTGAGACAGGATTTGTTCTTTCTCAGGGAATCATCAGTTTTTTGCTTTTAAGGCATTCTAAATGATTAGGTGATGCCCACACACATTATAGAACTTAAAATCAACTGATTGTAAATATTAGCCACATCTACAAAATACCTAGCAACACCTAGGTTAGAATTTGACTGATTACTTGGGTACTGTATCCTGGCTGAGTTGACACATAAAAGTAAACATCACAATTGCAGAGTAGTGGGTAGAGGTGTCAAGAAAGGGTTCTTACCCCAGCCAGCCAGTCCTCCTGCCGGGCTTAAAGGGTGTCCCCCTTGTTCCCTTTACAGAACAGCGTAAAAAGGCATTATGACAGGGGCTCAAATGTTATCAGACTCTATTGGGAGGAAGAGAGGGAGCGGTTATTAGTATACATTGACTTATAAACCATCTTGGAATTTTTTCATGTAAAAATATTGCTGAGGGATTTACCAAGAGAACAAGGTAAACAGCAAAAATTCCCACATGTGGTTTTTCTAGCAAGCATACACATGATTCTGGTTACAAATGCCTCCCAGCTTTTTCTACCAAGGCAGCTCTTTGCAGAAATGTTTGGTTTAACAAGCCCTACACATGCTCCTTTTTAGAGCTCTGTCCTTCCAATACGACTATTTCAATAATGGCCCACATTCTATTGATTTCCTCTGAAGGACTATGGGTGATCATTAGAGGATTTTTAATGTATTGGCTCCAGGCTCCCAAGAAAATTTTTCCCTGGGTTCCTATTACACTCTCCTACATTTGTACAGCAGATTTGCCTTCAAAGAGCTTTCACATACAGTCCCACTTGATTTTCCCTATTCCTTTCCTGTTATTCTGCTTCCCTGTATCTCTCTCTCTCTCTCTCTCTCTCTCTCTCTCTCTCTCTCTCTCTCTCTGTCTCTCTCTCTCTCTCTCTCTCTCTGTCTCTCTCTCTCTCTCTCTCTCTCTCTCTCTCTCCCTCCTCTCTCTCTCTTCATAATTCTACCTCCCTCCTCCCTCTTGGCTTCTAGTTCTTTTTCACCACTCAGCTTTCTGACTTTGCCTCCCTTATCTCTCTCCTATTCTCTTCTGTCATTTTTTTAAACTGAGCATAGTGTGAACTTTTTTTCTTTTTAGTAAATATTGGCTTAAGTTTCTTAATATATACTTTAGTGTCTGAGTAGATGCTATATTTTTTATTTTCTGTTTAAAAATGAAATTAATATTTTATTGATTTTTTTTCTTGCTTATGTGTGCCCCCTTCCCCTGCCTGCAACTGTGTAATAGCTTTCTGCTTTATCTTGGCTAAAATCTGTTCTCGCCTGATAAGACCAAGGCTGTCTTAGATACTGGACACAGTAGCCGCAGGGCCCAGAGTTCATGACAATTTTAGGGGACCACAAAAATGTTTTAATTTCTTTTAATATCAGAAGAAAAATGAATATAGTTTGGTCTGGATTATCTTAATCTTTTTTCCAATGCTATAATAAAATTTATATATGTGTCTATTTATCTACTGTATATGTATCTATTATCTCTCTGTCTTCTATCTATCTAGAGAAAAAGGGACTGACAAAGGTGCCCAAGACCCATGGGAATCATAAAGCAGCCCTGTATGAATCAAAGTGAATTACTTTTTTATGACTTCCTATTGCATTTAGGATAAAGACTAAAATCCTTCCAGGTCAGAGAAGGCTTTTTAAACCCTTCAGCCCCATTTTATACCTTTCTGCCTCGAAATCACCTATTGTATGAAATACGTCCTTTCAGTTTCTGGACAAACCTAACCTTTTCCCCCTCAGAGCCTCCTCTGTCTGGAACATTCTTCTCCGACTAGTCTTTGGTCTTCTGTCCATTCTTCAGGCTTCAGTTGAAGTGTTACTTCCTTGGGGGACTCTTCCCCACCATCCTTTTCATAAGCCCCTTTCCATAACCCTAGAACTGTAACTGTAATTCAAATGGTGTATATATATATATATATATTTTTTTTTTTTTAGATGGAGTCTCACTCTGTTGCCCAGGCTGAGGTGCAGTGGCACAATCTCAGCTCACTGCAACCTCTGCTTCCAGAGTTCAAGCAATTCTTGTGCCTCAGCCTCTCAAGTAGCTGGCTGTGCCACCATGGTGTGCCACCATGCCCAGTTAATTTTTTTTTTGTATTTTTAGTAGAAACAGGGTTTCACCAGGTTGGCCAGGCTAGTCTCAAACTTCTAGCTTCAAGTGATCCACCTGTCTTGGCCTCCCAAAGTCCTGGGATTACAGGCATGAGCCAATGCACCTGGCCCGAATAGTATAATATTGCTCACTCAGTTGTTTGATGATTATTAGTTTAATGTTTACTCTCCCATTTCATAGTACAGCCTCTGAAGGAAAGGCCATTGTCCATTTTGATCACCAGTGTAGCCCAAGATACTAGAACACTGCCAGGCCTGAGCTTTCAGACAATATTTCAGAGCAAGTTAATAGCTTTAAATTGATTTAATATACTATTTGAGAATGCTTATAAAAAAGAAACTAAAATGTTTCATTATATCTCAGTTTGTGGTATAATACTTCAGATTTCCTTTTCCTTTTACTTACTCTATTAATAGAAAAGGCATTAAGTACTGTGTAACTATGAGTTAAAAGTTAAACAGCAGACTTGACAACTCAGACTCAAAAACTCAAAGATAGGAAAGATGGTTTTAAAATCTTATTAATTTTACTTGAATCTTTGGAAATTGAATAATATTTTTTCCTTTTCTTTTCAGAGAAAAAAATATCCTATGAGGCCAGGAGGGTTCTTCCTATGAATTTTTTTTTCTCCAAAGATATTGTCAACTGGATTACACATTTTCCAAATAAAATCTCTTATATAAGCTTTCCTTGGGATTTATCTTTATTGAAAGTCATACAACTTCAGATACAGGCTGATTTGACCAAACAAATGACTGTGACTCAGTCTTCTGGTTGACCATTATCATGGAAGAAAACTCAGGTAATTTCAGGTAAACCAATTTTTTTATTGTTTAGTTGTTTGTGTATTTATTTATTTTTATTTTACTTTAAGTTCTGTGATACATGTGCAGAACGTGCAGGTTTGTTACTTAGGTATACATGTGCCATGGTGCCATGGTGGGGGGCAAGGGGAGGGAGAACATCGGCACAAGTACCTAATTCATGCGGGGCTTGAAACCTAGATGATGGGTTGATAGGTGAAACCAATGCCTTGTATGTGGTTTTGGCTTTGTTTTGATTCAATTAGTTAAGCAAGTGTTTCTCTTGCTTAAGAGAAAAAGTATAATCTGTGTTTTTTCCTGTGCATTCCTGTTGCTGACTACGCAACTTGATTTCCTGAAAGGTAGCCTGTACCTACTTGGCAGCTCTATGCAGAGCACACCTAACAGAAACTTGATTTTAAGCAAGGCATGAATGAGTCCTCCCTGAGAAAAATGTCTCAGCTGATTATAAGCATCTTGGACCGTGCTCCCTATCTTGAGACAAAGATTTTCTACACATGGCAGCTGGAGGGCAAGCTGGGAGACAGCTAACTAAATTTGCAGCATACTGGCAACAACTCCATTCTGCCAGAAGGGGAAAAGACTACAGGGATTTCATTTGGTGTAAGCTGTTAACTTGGAGAGATTCCAAAGAATGTTTTCGAAATATTACTGTGACTTTTAGTTTCTTTGTCATTTGAAAGTTTTGTTTATAAAACAAAAGACCAGGATTAATCTCAACCCTGTTGCATTAACACAAGTTGGTGAAGTCTGCCTTATCTATCTGTAAGAAAACACCAAGTCCCATTTTACATGATGAAGTTAAGCATTGGGATCTGAAAGTTTTAGAAAAAAGGCCAGATAAGAAATGTTGTAACAATTCGTAAGGGCTAGTCTCAGGGACTTTAAAGCCTGAAGCTACTTAAAGAAGCAGTTTGTTCATGACTGACACAGATGTAACATTTCTTTTGCAAAGTGTGAGCTGGAAGTTAGGGTATTTCTCTTTTCAAAAGGAGGTAGGTCACCTTAAGCACTTTGGTCTGGCTTTGACTTGCCGGAGGGACTCAAGGTTCAATAATTTTTCTCTTGGTCATGGAGGTTCTTCTATATTTCTGCCTATATTAGGTTTAGCTGAGAATATAATTTCATCTTAAAAGTCAATTGCTTATTAAAATTCTTGCCAGCAACACAAAAACCCAAGCAATTCAATTAATAAAAAATGGAAGATACTGATTTTATTTATATTTAAAATATCTCTGAATAACTCAATAATATCAGTGACTTCATTTGTTATCTATTTAGCCTGCAAAGAATGTACTAATCATAAGACCATAGCAACTAATATTCATTAAACATCAGACATATACTGAATATCACCTTTATTGATAGAGTTTGAAAATAAACTGTGCTTTTGAGGTACTTAATCTAAGGCAATATACATTACTGACTTCTTTGAAAAATGAAGTAAATTCTTCCCCCTGCTGAGTAGATCTGTGGAATTAAGCAATTCATTGGGACTCAGTTTTCTCATCTGTGAAATAATAAAATAAAAACTCAAAATGAGCATTGGGGTATATTATCTCTAAGTTGCCTTCTAGCTCAATCACTTTATGATTCTAAGTAATATATCTTCATTCCAATGTAAATTTTTCTCATCAATAAAACACTTAACTGCTCATTTTACAAATATAACTTAAGCTTTGTAAGCCAGAGCTGCTAAAAAAGCAATGAGAACCTAATTTGATGAAAGTGAACAAAAGTATTCAAATTTGACATATTGCCTTTACACGTATTAATAAAAAATCAAATAATACACAATTCCCACTCTTCAGTGATTACAGAATAAGAAAGTACTATTACTGCTTTTCATGCATGGTACTTTTCTCTTTCCAATTACTGCTTAAATCAGTGGTAAAAAAATTTTCCCTTGAAATATGTTAGCAACTTCCTTCATTTTCTGCAAATAGAAATAACGAGTTTAAAGGAAGAATCTGAAATAAATATCACTGATAGTACTTTAGCATTAGTGCTGAGAATGAGATTTTAAAAGATAGGTCGTTGCTATAACTCTATTATAGTAAAAATCTATATTTAGAACAACGTAGATTATATTTGAGAAAATATAGGCATAGCCCTTTAAATGATCCCAATGTTGTAAAATAGGAGATCACTCTATAAGTTGCAAACACCTCAGTCTTGTAGGAGTGTGACGGTGTGACTGCAGTGATCTGGGAAAGATGACAATTACTAGCAGAGAGGGACCATTTCTGTGCTAAATAGGTTAATTTTTGGCAGAGAGACTCTCCCTGATCTAGTAAAGTTAATGAGGCTTTTACTGAATTAAACCAACTTGGTGAGCTTTGCTAAAGCTTTGGAGGCTGTCAGAATTCTGCCAGCAATAGACACTTAAAGTATTTGAAAGAAAGTGAATAAGCATCTCTTGAATAATCAGGAACCACTTTAAAGAATATTAAATTTATAGGTGAACAGAATTAAGAAAATGAATAAATATTTTAATCATAAGGCTAATTTTCAAAGAGTTTCAGAGTATAAAATGCTTTTCTTATTTTTTTCTTAAGTTTTTTACTATAATATTAATTCAAGAAAAATATAAAGAAGAAAGGGACGAAACAATCTAGCAATCAATGCCACAATTATTTAAAACCTAAGCGGTAAGAATACCATTATTATATAAAACCTAAGGGGTGGAAACTGTATTTAGTGACCTGTGCCTCTGTGATCTGAGGGTTCTCTTTCTAAAATTTTTCTCTTGCTGAGGAAATGTGCCTGTAAGCCCATGCTCGCAGATTGTTATACAACCACAGAGATCATTCTAAGTAAAATTGTGACTTCAGCCTTTACCTTGGGCTCCCAATTCAGCTTCTCTTCCCACATTCAAGTAATGTGCACTTCCCATTTCCCATGAACCCCTCCCTCCCACCAGCCACCCATTCCACAGGATCTGCTGGTCTGACATCTATCTTTCATAATTAATAGAGTACACTCATGTTGGTAAGAAACCACAGGGAATAAGGGCCCCAAATGGTCCATTCCTTTTACATCCTGTTATTTTCATCAACCCAAGATAGTTCTCAGATTGGCAGATTTTATAGCCCAGTAAAAGTCCAACAACCACCACAAAATAGGAGAGTAAAGGGGAAAGAAAGAGCAGTAAAACAGAGCTATTGGTTCAGGATTGGGTTGATAAGAGGAGAACATTCTCACACATACACTCAAACGCACACTCACACCCACAGCCACCCACACGCCCCACAAACACCCCCACACACAAACTCACTCACACACAGTCACCTACACTCATTTACACTGATATCCACCCTCACACACTCACACCCACAGCCACTGACACCCCTCCACAAACACCCCACACACACTCACAAACTCACACTACCACACACAGTCACCTACACTCATCCACACTGATATCCACCCTCACACATATCCACAGAAGCACAACTCCACACCCACACACTCACAAACTCATATTTCCACCCACAGTCACTCACTTCACCAACACTCATATGCACACTCACAACCACAGCCATAATCACACACATAGACACACCCCCCACACTCAGATATACACTCACAAACACACCTTCGGCCACCTACACTCACTCACATAGGCACAACCACACATACTCAAACACACATGAAGTGCCACTCACACTTGCTGTGCAGCCCCAATCCATATTGCCACTAGCACAGAAATCAGTAGGTATGAGAGAGCCCCACAGAGTGTGAGCAGATGCAGTATGGTATTTCAGTGTGGCTTTCCCTCCCCTTGCTTCTCTAGAGAGCACATGGCTGTTGGTAGCATTTTCCAAGCTGGTAGAAGAAACCTGCCAGCATTGAGAAGAGGCTTGATTCTTGCTCACCACAAGCCTTCTGTGGCATTCCTTTCAGCATTCCAGAAGCAGTTGTATTGATCCTCTGCACATATCCATTAAGGAGATGTCTATCTCACCTGCACTCCTGTGCAGATTTTGAACCAACTCAACCTAAGTAAAGTTCGATCCTTATGCTGGGGAGAGGAAAGAAAGCCAGAGGTGGTGCGTGGAGTTCTCTGATACCTCTCTTAGCCTTCTCCAGAAAAGCTGATCGTCTCTCCCAAATTTATCTTATTTTTGCCAAGTAAGGGAATCAAAACATAATGAAATAAACACCATCACCTTTTTGCACCAATATTATTAAAAATTAAAATTTTATTTGTTTTTATCATAATTTATTATTTGTAATATTTATAATTTTATTATATATTAAAATAACATCATCAAAATGTCATAATCTCAAAACAAAGAAAGCCCTTTCATCAGTTTCTGCAGGCCAGAGAAAGCCACATTATTGAATGAGATGTTCCCGTATTACATCTGCGGCTCATTGAGCTACATCAAGGGTATTTGAATGTTAATAAACTGCTTAGTTGCCAGCTTTGATTTTCCATTGACAACTCAGTCGCACTATGCTATCTTTCCTTTGCATTATTTTAAAGCATACCAGGTGGTGATAAGGAAGCATATAAATGCCGGTAGCTTTCATCTGACATGAGAATTTATGAATTCAAAACAAAGCCCTTGTATCTCAAAATTCGATTCTTTTGTTTATTAAGAAAAACTGATCACTATAACGAAATCAAGTCTACGGAGCAAAAAACAAAAGCACTGTAACCCTCCAAAACGTACATTTGTTACATTTTTTCATTTAATTTTTTTGGTATGTTTCTCATAATCTCTATTCTCCCCAATGGATTTTTTGAACGTATGATTCACTCAAAATTTAGGCTTTGTTGCATTGAAGCCAAATCATGACTTCTAACACCCTTTAGTCCCTTGAGTCTCTCTGTGGCCATTTTTACCTGCTTGTGTCTTCCAAATCCCCAACTGTTCTTAGCCCACTTTTCCCAGTGCTCAGCTGTGTGATAGAGGTGACTGTTACTCCTGCTCTTCCCCTATTATCAGGTGTTCAAAAGGACACATCTGTAAACTGTTTATACCTCCACTCTACAGAGTGGGTTGGAGAACAGAGAGAAAAGGATCGATAGTTTATAAAGTGACCCTACTCAAATGGCATTTGCACTCAAGAACTGAAAGGTATGTGAGCAGGGCCAATGGAACAGATTTGGGATTTAAAGACACTCTTGCTTAAATTGCAGTAGGTAGCAGTTCTCAATTTTGGATTATGAAGATGATGAAGGAGAAGAATAGTGTGAAGCTTAGGGGAGGAATATAAGGGCAAGGGAATAAAATGGGAATGTTACATTCAAGCAAGAGTGCTTGCCATCGCCCTTGTTTTCTGTCATTGGACTAAGCTAGGCAGCCAGAACACTGTGGCTTTTGAGGTATATCAGTTAGTCTAGTTCTTCCCAGACCTCTCTTGGAGAGATTAAAAAATGTTGATGATTCAGTTCCACTCTCTTATAGTCTGAATTAATAGTCCCAGAATGAGGGTGTCTTTTGCTTATTTTACTTTCCCTGGTTGATTTTATAGTCAAGCCAGGGCTGAGAGCCAAGTGATATAACCAAAATATGAGGGGACATCACTTCAGTCTTGGTACCTCTTCCTCAATCATGGTAAGAATTTTTGTGATGCAATCTGTACCTGGAGCAAAGGGAAAATGAGAAAATAAATCCAACTTTTTTCCATTGGCTTGTATCATTATTAAACTGATTAATAACACGTATCAATGCTGTTTTATCAGAGTTGTCAGATAACCTTAGCAAATCTATTTTTCCCCTAGAGTTTATCTCTAAAAGTGAAAATACATAAATTGGGAAGACACATAAGTATGCAAAAGAGCTTCCATGTTTATTCATTATTAGAACATTAGAACTAGAGCAGATCATAAAGATCATCTATGTATTTTTCAAACTGCAGCTATGATCTGGTAGAGTGTTGTGAAATCAATTTAGAAAGCTGCAACTAGCATTTTTATGCAAGAAATAATATGATAGAATAAAGTAGAAGTCCGTCACATGCAGTAAGTGTGTCTTGTGGCTGTTTGTGAAACTTCATTGTCATGACCTATTTCTTCCAGTGGGTGGTCATCAAAATGTGTGACAGCCACTAGTTGAAGCCAGTTCTGTGTCTTCACTGATGAAACTAATGGATTCCAGAGAAGTTAAGGAAATTACCCAAATTCACACAGCCTGCTTGAAAAACACTGGGTTAAAAGTAGGCTTCCTGATTTTTGTTGTTTTTAGGTTTCTTTTTGGGGAGTATTATATCGTATAAAATAGGAAAGTCTTTGGAAAAGCAATTAAGCAGGATGCCTTTGTACTTGTATAAAGTAAAAGGCTTCAAATTCGAGGAGGCTAAAATGGAGAAAAGTTAGAATTCAAATTTGTAGTTTAAATGTAAGCATATTAGATTCTGCTACTTTGTAGAGTCATTTTAACTTTTTGTTTTAATACAGAAATCATTGTTTTGGGAAGATATACTGGATTAAAGTGCAAGTTGGATTGAGACATAGGGACTCTGAAGAAAGAACAGATGTATGGCTATTGGAATGTGACTGAAAAATATCTAAACTGTCAGTGACAATGACAATGGAAGGCAAAGAAACCTATAGGACCATTTAGATCTGTCATAGACTGGACATGGGAAGAGAATGACCAGAGGTCAGTAGTTCTTAAAGTCAGTTTGGTCATTTACATCTTAATCACTTGGGATCTTTGTTAAAATTCATATTCTTGGGTTCTCCTTTGGCTCTTCTGAAATGGGTGAGACCTGGGAATTTGTTTTTTCTCATATGCTGCCAGATGATTCTTATGCTCTGTAAAGTCTGAGAAGCACTGAATTCAGATTTATATATATATATATATATATATCAGGTTATCAATTATAATCAAAATAGTTCTAACCTAATTTTGTTAGCCTGTCTGTAAGTGACAAACAGTTCCAAAAGATGATGGAAGTGATGGTAGTAGTATATTGGGAGAGGGCCATCATTGATCTGGTATATAGACTTTCTTACTACTTAACAGGAAACAAAAATTGCCTTCTGCTATGTCTCTAATTGCCTTTATTCATTTATTCACTCAATCCATCACTCAGCATTGAACGCTTCCTATATGCCTGGTACTCTGTGGAGCTCTGGGAATGAAAAGGTGAGCTGAGGCTTATATTAGAAACATAATTCCATTTATGGTCATATCCAACATCTCTGCCAGTTTAACAGCGTCTTCTTTAGTCCTTGGAAATTATAGGCCTATTCCCTTTGGCGTACTCTCATTCCCAAGTCACAACCAAATGGGTCAGGAATGTACACTTGCCCTGACACCAGGCAGTCAATGGACCAAATGCTATCTTCAGAATTTGAAGATGGTGACATTATGGCTGTAGTCAGTAAATTGTTGAGTGTGAGAGTATGAGTTATAACTTTATATCCCAGTGATGGTCACAGCATCTTCATGCCTAAGTCCTTTACATGTCACTTTCTAAAGAAGTCCTTAACGACCTCCCAGAATAGCTCATATTCCTCCCTTGTTTCCTTCATAACAATTGAAATTAATTAATTTTGATAATTATTTGTTGCCAGGTTTCCCCCACTAGAATCTTTCACGAAGGCTGGATTGCTTCTATGTTGTCTTAAAATAGCTCTGTGCTTTGCAACATAAATAAATTTTTGATAAATGCATGATCGCAAAATTTACTTGAATTCATTCCATATTTAATAATTTTCAGTGGGCCTAAATAGGTCTTAGATTTAAGATTTTCTTAAACAGTTGCATAATGATCTAGTTTTCTAGTTTACTTTCTTCCATCACCTACTATTGTGAAAAGCCAGAACCAGATTACATCACCCTTGCCATTATACTTAAAATGTTTCATATCTGCTTGATTTGTTCAAAAAAATTAAGGTTAGAATCCTTGAGCCCCATTAATGCATCATGAAAGGCCTAAGATTTTAAACACTTCCTAACAATTTGTTTCTCTTTCTTCATCTAAATTAATAGTTGCCTTCCATTTCATTGCTCATATTTCCCACATCTACCAGCAAGTCCTGCCAATTCTTCTGTCAATTCCTATCTTAAATTCATCCAGTTTCCTCCACCTCCATCTGCACTACTCCATCCCAGTTCAGGTCACCATCATCTCTCACCTGAACCACTGCAATCGCCTGTTAACTGGCTTCTCTCCTGGAGCTCTTTTTCCCCCAAATGACAGAGTAATGGGTAAATAGGAATACGATTTTGTCTCATCACCGCTTAAGACTTCCCTGCGGTTTACCGAAGGCACTTAGCATAAGCTCCAAGCTGCTTTGTCTGACCTACCCATTCTGGTTCCTGCCTACTTTTCTGACCTTAAATTATTCCACTCTCCCAGTTGTTGACTATCCTCCAGCCACACTGAATTGCTCTCCAGTCTCTGGACACACCAAGCTCATTTCTCCCTTGGACTTTCAGTAGCGTACTTTTTAGCTCAGCTCTTATTTCTGCCGTTTGCTCTCCTCTCCACGTGGCTGGCTCCCTCTTGTCACACACTTTCAATGCCATCTTCTCAGAGAGGCTTTCCCTGACTATCCAATCTAAAGAACCACCTACTTACCAGTTCCTACGTCATCCTGCATTAACTCTCTTCCTGGCCTTATCACTGTGTGTTAGCATTCTTGTTTCTTTAATGTTTCTATCGTTTCTCTCACTTCACTCGAGAGTAAGCACCATTAAATCAGGATATTGGCTCTCGAATTCACTCTTGTTTTCCTAAAGCCCAGACTGTGCCTCTGGGGGTATGGTAGAACCTTGATAAATATTTATAGAAAGCACAAACTCTTGCATAAAGATGTAAGAGCTCTAACCTGAAACACCTTCTCTGGCCACAAATTGAAAATTTCCCCCAAGTGCATTTATTTTAGCCAAACAAAGAATCTTACAAAGGATAACAGTTTATTCTTTACCCGTAAGTGTGTACAATCTTGAGTCTTCCCTATGTCAATTGTAACAAGGAAGAAAAAGCACTTTCACTGTCACCTATGTCAGCAGGGATAGAAACAACTTCAGATAGAAGAACTCTGGAGTTTGGATCTTGTCCTCCACCCATCTCCATGGAGGGAAGGATGAATCACTTAACCTCAGGGCTTTCTTGCTCTGCCTTCGGATCAATCATATTGACCTTCTGGCAGGGTTCATAGAAGAGTTAACTAATCAATGTCGATAAAGCATTTGGATAATGATGACAGCTACAGAAATAATGATGATAATTATCTTTTGGTGATGCATAGGATAAGCAAAGAAAAAAGGCCTTAAAATATATTTTTATGCTGTACAGACTTTAATGGTGATGTGCAAATATTGGACCGCCTTTACCTGGTACAGACTACCTTTTATTCTATGAGACCTAGACCCTCAAATTGTTGCTTCCTTAAAGGCAGCTATCCTAATATTAAAAAACAAAAACCAAAAATCAAACACTATTGTGCCAGGTTGAAGCAATTTTCTAGTTTTTACTTGCCAAGAAGTGGAAAATTGTCACCTTTTATTACAGTGCTCTTTTGTGTCAGAGAAAACATAAAACATGCGCTTAAAATTACTGTAGACTGAAACCATCCAGGTGGGTGTTCCGTTCAAATTTAATTTGATGCAAATAGCCAGGAATGTTTGTTCTTTGCATTTCTGCTGGAGAAGAGCCCAATCACGAGGCGATTGCCTTCCCTCACACTCTGTGGGTGTGCTAAGGTTGTTGGATGGTTAATAAGAATATTAACCATTTGCTGTTTGGAGTAGGGCTGCCTCTTGGGTAAAAATGAAAGGAATGAATTTAGTTTGGTTTACCAACATTTTCCTGCACTTTAAGTATCCCTTCCTACTACTACCTTTATATTCTGTGTCCTGAACTCAAGTCAAAAGATTCTATTACATGTTTCACATCTGTACCCTTCCATAAAATGGTGCTTTAAGAAAATTGTGGGGCTAATGAAGCATTTTATCCAAATAAATGCATTCCTAATGGAGCATCTGTTAAGAGGTTAGCATTTTAGGCAGAGAACTTTCTGGCGTCCTGTAGATCATGTCCTATAATATTGCCTTACATTACTACCAATATTGTTATGGTTTAAATCTTGCCCTATATCAAGTTCAATAACTGGGTCAAGGTTGAATCCAAGACCATATTTTTCTTTTTTGATAATCCCATTGTCACACCCTCTAGAAAGTTACTCCATCAGAGCCAGGAAAGAATGCTGTATCATGACAGAACTTGCGAGCTACATTGCCTTCGCACTCTGTTTTTAAGACAGGTATAAATTATGCAGTGTTACTGTTGAATAGAAGATAGATTTAATATAGGGAATATCAAGAGAGTAAAGAGAGTAGGACCCACCATGACATGAGGCAAAAAAAAAAAAAAACAAAATCAAATTTCTAATATTCCCAATTTGAAAAGATACCAGTAAACTCGAAATTCTTGCTAGCTTTAAAGAAGCCATAACTAAGAGACAATTTTCTCTGAGGTGTTTTGTGTACTCTAAAACATCCAGAAAGTCATGAGCCTCTAAATGCTGATAAAATAAAGTTTTGCATGTGTGATACTATCAAACTGGTCAGAGTATCATTGTGTTATGGAAATTCTTAAGGAGCTGTTCCTCAGAAATGAGCGATATACGTTTTTTAATGAATCTAAAGCATCAGAGAAGTGCTCTTTCACAGCTGCCGGATACTTTTGAACATCCTGTGTCCAGGTTCCCTTTCATAATTAGAAGTGCAAAAGGAAAACTCAGACTTCCCAAATTGCAGAGAATGTTTCATATAACAATAAAGGGCTGCCCCCATATATCCTTAGTTGACAGACAATAAAAGACAAAATTGGTGTACTAAAAAATGATAGTAGGGCTTTGGAGACGGGAACGGTGGTGGCAGATTTGTTAAACTGTTATTTTGGCTCTAATCTTTCTAGAGGACAAAGAAGATGGAGATTTTTTTTCTTCCTCCTTCTTCTTTCTCCTCCTCCTCCTCCTCCTCCTCCTCCTCCTCCTCCTCCTCCTCCTCCTCCTCCTCCTCCTCCTCCTCCTTCTTCTTCCCCATATTGTGAAAAAGTATATTTATCAAAAACAAAACAAAACACAGAAACAAGTCCTGTAATAAATAATGTGGACCCTCATGTAAGAAAAATAGGAAGGCAGTCAGCATCATGAAATCAGGATTTGGTTGATTGTTTCTGTTCTGGGGCCTTTGCTCTTGCTCTTCTTCCCACACTCTCTTCAGATACCCACGTAGCTCCTTCTTTTCCTGCCTTCTGATCATCTTTAAATGTTCCTTACCCGAGAAGTCATCTGTAGAAAACAGTACCAGAAAAACCAGGATGCCTCCACCTCCACGTCACCTTTTCCCCTTATTCTACTTTCTATTTCTTTGTAGCATTTATCACTTCCAGGTTTATTGTGAACTTGTTTACTGTCTGACCCTTATACTGACCCATTATGAATTTAAGCTTCATAATGGCAAGTACTTTGTCTCTTTTTGTGACTGTTATATTCCTGGAGCTCACAACGGTATCTGTGCAGTGCAGGGGCTTATGAAATATGGGTGGAAGGGAATGGATAATTTGCTTAAAAACTCCATTGTTTTCTGGATTTAATTTTGCTCTTCCTTGAGACTCGGGGCATAAATTCATCTTCTAAGCATATTTTCCAGCATTATTTTTAGTTTATTTCTTATTCTTACTCTACAGTTAGCCAAATTGGACTACTATATTTGTTGTTTACAAATACATCCTGTAATATAATTGGAAAAATGCTGGTTTTAGGTTTCGACCAATTTCTAGTCCAGTTGTGCCTCAGTTGAGCCTTGCTTCTTCTATGTACAGTACATCAAGGCATAGTTACCTAATGCTGCATAAAGAAATAGTGGTCTTTGTGAATTAGT